TCTGAAGATATGTGTCACATCAGCAGTGAAGCAGAGAGCAGAACAGAAACTAATAAACTTCCCTCAAGAATAACAATTTACTTTATTCTATTAATGAGCAGTTGAAGCTAGATATCAATTTTTTCTACTACCTTTCATCTACTAAACTGCTACTTAGGCCATATTTCTATTACTCTCAGTCAATTTTACAATTTTAAAAAGGTGTACATAAAATGTTCCTCTTCTTTTTTTTTTTTCCCCAGAAAAGATAAAGAAATGGCCACTTAACTACATCCTTCCTAGCAATATAGAAATACTGATGAATGCTAAGTCAAGTTACAGTGAATACTGAAGAAAGTGTTACAGAAGCTGACTTGCTGCTAAAAGGAAGCAGAAAAAGTAGATTTATTAGGTTTCTTCTAAATTGTGCTTTATTATGAATAAAATTTTAATACAGAGAGTATTTCTGTAATTCTCTGCAAAGATCATTTATTAAGGCTATATGTCTAAAAAATTACCCCTGGGCCCATAAACTGCAGTACTAATTTTACTAAATTTCTGTCCAGAATTGGTAATGAATACAAATTTAGGTGTATTCAGTCAGTGTGCTTGCAAAAACTGTCTACCAAACCACAATCAACTTAATCAACTAGAATCACTGGCCTTTAAATATTGAGTCTTAATATAGATGTTTTCTTTGTCTTTTTGCAATGTAGTAACTGTGCATATTTAAAAGAGTATTTTGGTCCATTGCACTTTTGGGCTACCTTTTGAAGTATTCAGGACATGTCAGAGTGGACTTTAACAGCCATAATTAGGTTTTCTACTGCTTCCTTCTGCCAATTTAGCACATTACTCTTTCACTGTAAAGATGGCTTTCCACAATCACATCTGTACCATTTCCTTGCAAAACCTTTGGTGGCAGAAGGGGATCAATCACATGACCTTCTAGCAGAGCCTAAACCACAAAAGAGAAGCTTTTCTTTCTTTCCTTGGCATTAGGAGTTTGCATGCTATTCTAGTGAGTCCTGAAGGGACTTCCCTGGGAAAACTAATGCAGACTGACTTTTTCCAAGCCTCCTCTTGCTCACTGAAGGATGGTAGGAGCAAGCTTGTTCTGTGGACTTCAATTCTATTCCTATTTCATCAACAGATGGCAGTAGAAAACTCCCTACTTACCTATCATAAGACCAAAGGCCTTACAAATGACCCTAATAATGTCAAAGGAAGAAAAACCATCCAAACTATGGTGGCATAAGTCTTATATATAATGTGCTCTAAACTTTTCAGAGCACTGCAAAGTCTTCTAAGGATTAATTTTGTGCTGAGCCTGAATGACCAGAACCAGCTATTGCTTTTGGAATTACTATCTTTCCTGTTACCTTCTTCTGTTTTTAAAGGATTCTTTTGTAGTTGTACTTTATTTTTCTAGTTGTGAAAAAATATTTGGAATGTAGATTATAGCCAATAATTTGCTTTCCCCACAGATAGATTGCTGTGATGAAAAGTCAGCTCTCTTATCTCGGTAGACTTTTTCAAATGTTATCATTAGAGTGACAGAACAAGTAATTTAGTCAGTAAGTTTTTGAGACATGCCTCACTAGATTTTGTCATTTCATTAATTCCTCCCCCTTTAAATCAAGTAGATGGTATAATAAACTTTTTGGATTCTTTATATAGATCAAAACATTAAGATGCATGGAATATACAGTAGTTTCTTATTCCATTTTTTAAAAGATGCTGATATCTTGGCATTGCCAATCAAAGAAAAAAGATTACCATAAAAATTTCTTAGAGGCATTTTCTTGTGTAAAGTATAATAGTGGGTGTCTAATATAGGAAAACTCATAATATATAATTCTCTTTTAGCCTCAAGGCACCATGAATAAGGCCTAGAGTTCCTGATTTCTATTTCCACCTCTTTCATTAACTTGCCTTAAAAATTCTTTGTAGCTCACAATATTCCAGCATGTTTCTTATGGTGAAAGAAACTGATTTCAAAGGGAAGGAAGAAAGGGAGAAGAAATATCTCTTTCAGGCTCTGCTGGAGGGAGTGGCTTACTCTTCTAAACATAATGGAAATGTGTGAATTTGCTGAGCCAATGATTTAAACTGAAGTAGGTTTGAGTCAAATCTTCAAGATGTAAACACTGATTTCCGTTCAATGTAGTGAGTGGATTTTCTTAGAGTAAACTTTAAACATTGACCATGTGTTGGCTGTATGAGGGTGTGTACTTGGCAAAGGAAAGTGTATGTCCTAGAAGCAGTGCAGAACATTTTGCCTTTGCATGCTGTTCTACACAGAAATGTTGGGGGAAAGCCAGCATAGTGTCAAAGCCATAAGGACTGAAACCTCTTTTTTTTTTTTTTTTTTTTAGGTTTTGTTTTGGGTTTTGGGTTTTTTTGGTTGGTTTCCTCTCCTCTAAGGAAACAGAGAAACCTGCCATACATTTTGGTCACATAAACAGAAATACTTATTGATTTGTACTCCTCCCATCATCTGTTTTTACTAAGTATTGTAAAGTTTTCCTATAAGTTTGGAAAGGAGATAAATAATATGGTAAGTATTCAACTTATTTCAAGTATATTTTGGCAGGTTTTTAGTTATATAACTACTTTCAGGTTGTGTCATTTTCATATGAAGAATTTTGGAAAAAATGAAAACAACATTAATTCTTTAGCTATAGGCATATCTAGTGATGTTGAGCCTGACACTATGTTACTCTTATGAAAAATACAACCCGCATTATAAAAATGAGGTTTTGGTTCATATATATATCTACTTGAGTGAGGACATTGATAACAAATTTGTTATGTGTTAGCTAAGTGTAAATATAAACCAATAATAAAAGATATCGTTTAACAGATAAGTACTCATATCATAGAAATGGTTGCATAATCTTCATTTATTCCTATCATGCTGTCTTTAATTTATTATCACATACATTTATTTTCAGAAGACCCTGGATATTAAACATGCTGTCTGAATTTTTAAGAAATTAATTCAGTGAATGAACTGTGTGTTCAGATTGTTCAGCCTGTGTCCTCTGGCTTCCTATTCCATGAATAGGTAAAGAAATTAGAGAATGAAACAGTCGTCATGCATTCAATAAGGTTTTCTCATGGTAGTGTTACTATTTGGAAGATAGTAGCTTCCTTTGTAAATAACTTTGAGATACATTTTAATAAAATATTACACAATATTATACATATGACACTGGCAGCTTTTATGTTCTGAACCGAAAACATTTTCAGCATTCCATCAACAAGTGTATCTTCAGTGGTGGCATGTTCTGGCTGAATATTGAACTGCTACACCTTTAGTTTTACTTACTTGTTTTGAGAAACTACCAGTGTATGTGCACAGCATAGAGCAGGCCAGATGTGGTGCAGATGTGCAGACAGACCTGTTGCAGTCTTACTCATACTGCCTATAGGCTTACTTTGGAGTAAATTATCCCCACCTGAAGTGTCCCTGAGAGAAAATTAGCTGTGACAGTTCAAAAGAGAGCCCAGGAGCAAGCTGACATACAAGCAGTGTGAACAGTCGATGAACTGCAGAGTGAAGTGAAATGGAGTGCTAACTTGTTTGACAGCATGCATAGGTGACTTAGATCACATGTAGCTTATCAACTGTATCTATATGGCAGTGATGTCTGAGGAGACATACCCTGAAACACCATTCTCATATCTTGAGTTAACTCTGCAAAGATTCCTGCACTAAGATGTGCATACCATAACTAGTTATTTTTCTTTTATGTACACCTCCTCATTTTTTAAGTCATTGTGCTGTCAATATCTTTCACTTTGCATATATTTACTCAGCTTTTTATGTCCAAAATATTTTACTTTTCAATTTTCTATGCATGTCTGATACAACACAGAAAAATTAAATGACAATTTACTTCTACTGTAAGTTATTATTTCCAGAAGGAGGTTTTATTTTCAAAGGCCAATCTTTCTGTGATCTGTGATATAATAAATTTCAAAGCATCTCCGAATAATTTCTATTATTACTACTCTATTTTTAACCTTTTTTCCACAGATTTTGCTAAAAATCCTGCTTTTGTTAGTCATTAGAAGTTATTTTAGTTATTAGAAAATTGTGATTCTGCCTTTACTTTACCAAACTTCTATAAGAAATTTCATTTCAGTAAAAATATCTTCAGTCAGGAGTAGTCAATTTTACCAGTGTTCACACAGTATTATATAATTCATAGTTGTCTTTTAAGCAGCAACATTTTCCTCATTCACTTTGTAGGGATTACATAGAAAAAAAATATATTAACTTTCGGGAATATGCAAGTGTAAACCTTTTTTCTTTTTTTATTTCTTTAACCAAAAGAAATTCTACGTCTGTAACAAATTTAAGTCCAAAACACATTTCCTGTGTTTTGGAAGGGCCTGTCATTTCAAACTCTACTCTTTAAAAATACTGTTAGAAGAATATTGCTTAGCAGTAGAATATGAATTTTCACAGACTTGAGTAAAGTATTCATAGTCAGATTTGTGTTGCGCAATCAAAGTGGACTTTAATGCGGAATTTAAACTCCTACACTCAAAACAACACTTCAGAATGTCTGTATTAGCATTAGTTCATAATGGAGAAAGTCTCATTTTGAATTAATAACTTTGAGGTGATCCTCAATCTCTGGTAAGCTAGGAGGAATAAGGAGGGTTTTGACCAGAAGGGCAGGAAGGAGCCCAACCCCTAAATTTCCAAACTGCCCTCTTTCTAAATTTGGTGTTTAGTTCCATGACTCTGGTATGAAATGAACTGAAAATTCAGGTCACTGGCAAATTATTTTGTCTACTGTGTTACAGAAATTGCATGCTCTTGTTTAGACCAGGAAACTCCTGCATACATGGCTGAACAGCCTTGGTAGGAAATATGGGTCTGAGATATAGGCCTTAATATCTCTTGGTTAGTTGAACCCTTTTCTGGATTTCTATGTAATTTGCTGTGCAAAACAGGACAATTAGCCCCTATTTAAAAAGGCAAATTTTGTTCTGCTCACTAGGTTCTCTCAAGAGATGTCTACTCTGATTGAACAAGACACCTAACATCTTGAAAAAGGAATGTGAGTTCAAATGCAAAATTGTACTGTTTCTCTGTTAGATAACTTTAGATAGCTTTTTGTGCAGCCTCTGCTTAATTTTTTATTGTACAAAGGTGTTAAACCTTTTAAATAATTGTAATGTAGTTGGAAATTTCTTTTTATGTACTGGTACTCCTAAAACTGATGCTCATGGTCGACTATGGTTTTCTCATACATTCTATTTTTGGTGCCTTTTATGTAAAGAACTGCATTCAAGAATGAAATTATAACACCCTTCTACTGGAACATGGAAACACAGCCATCTGGCATGTATGTGTTTCATCATTTTGCCAATTTCTTTGCTACAGCCTATTTTTGTACTTGGGAGAACCTTCTTATATTTGGTCCTTTTGTCAGAGTGAAAAATTAATACTGAAAAGCATACAGTCTATGTTAAAAACATCTTCACAATCTAGACCCTGCTGAATGATTTGGTAAGGATTCCAAATTACCTATGCTCACAGATTATTATATAATGAAATTTTGAAGAATGGCTGAATTTGTTGTCACCTGCATGATTTCATCAATTTCCCAGTATATTTTTTCCACTGGATTTTTACAATGCAGAAAACTTGATGTCTCTAAGTGCGTTTACTCAGTATCTCTATAACTGTGTTTTTAAAGGAAACACAAAGAAGAAGCAATACAGTTGGGTTATGAAGAATCATACTATATAGCAATTGGATTTTGACAGATAGTCAAGGGTTATTCTTTCTTCTTCTCCAAGAGTGCAACTTCTTATGTTTTCTCTTTTCACTTTCATTTTCATGGAGTGAAAAGGTAATATGCAGTTTAAGATTCACTTTTGTGAAACACCACCATTCTACAGTACTTCTAAAAATATTTCTGGTTATTCTACTTGCATTTAATGAAGAAACTGTATTTTTAGGTGTTAATTTAGTGCTAGTTGAGGCCACAACTGAGTAGATGGAAACAGGAACTGGTCTTTTTAAGCATACCAAGGGGATATATGTGGTTCTAGGAAACCTTAATCCATTTTGTGCCACCCTGGCACAATGTTTGTGAGGATTGTTATTGGCAACTACCAACAAGAAGTTGAAGTCTTATTTTTCACTCTTAATTTGATTCACCATCTCTAGGCAGATGAAGATGATCCTATTCATCTTCCATCTTTGCATCCTAGAATGGGAAGGAGTTAAAGAATGTGCAACATCCACTTAATTTTGCATATTCTTGTATTCCTTTAAGTCTCCCTTACTACAGTGCATAGGCATCTCACTGAACTAAAAAAATCTAGCTCTTATATAGGACCTTTTCAAAAAATCTCTAATTTTCAAAAGTAAGAAAGGCAAGGCAAGCTTAGGTCAGAAACTCTTCAGAAGAGAAAAAGGTACCAGCCTCTGAACTATTGCTCATAAATTTGCTCCGGTCCACATTTTTAGTACATTTTCAGTACTTCATACTTTGTGACTGTGGTCACATGAACTATTATCTTTCTTCTACTCTGAAACTTTATTGTTAGAATTGACCATCTTTTCTGCACGTGAATTCAGAGAATTATGACACAGAGGTATAATAAGGGATGTTTGCATCTACCATTCCCTAGACAGGGAACAGATATCTGCTTCTCACTGCAAATAAAGCACTATAACCTTGAAAAGCAAGTAGTGGAAAAGAATTCTGAGAAATTCCAAAACACAGTGTCAAAAACCCCTGGTGTGTGAAAGCTCATTTGTATCATATCTGCATTCTCTGAATGCTTAACTTCCTTTGTCCATTAATAATGTGAGGGGCTTGGAAGGCTATTTAGCTACCACCCCCTTGTCATTTATGCCAATATTTGGGAATTAAACCAAAGAATTAGCTATAACATAGATTACAGTCAAAAGAGTCTATGCAGAAAGCAGCAGTCAGACTAATAGAAAATTAGTAAATTCTCTTGTATGTCAGGGTTTGGAAGAGAAATGATAACACCCATTATAGAAAGTAAGTAGTTTTTGAGACCCAAAAAAGAGTTTTTAAAAGATAAGAGGCTAGAGTTGATAAGGCTTTTTGGAACACATACCTATTCCTTTTGCCTTCAGTATTGTGCAACTCTGGTAATTTTAGCAACATCTTATTGTCTCTGTAATTAGGAGTATATACATATTTTCATTACAAGCAACATTTGCCAGACATAAAGGCTTTCACTATTTCAAACTATGCAAGAGGTTTTTAAAGATGTAGTAGCTAACATCAGTGCTTAACCTCTTGATCATCCTACAAAATCCATGAAGACATTCAGGTCTGAATTGGAAATATATGCTGAAATACCTCACTGAATTGTCATGAATCATCACTGAAAAAAGTCAAGGTACTGGGGACAACAAGAAAAAAAAATTTTTAGCACCAGAATAGAACGCTCAATTTTGTTTTCATTTATCCTCTTCTCTGTTGAAGATTTTGTGTTCTGTATATACCTACTGCTAAAATAATTTCAGTATCAATTCTATAACACCATAATAGATCACCAGCTGGTCAGTCTTAATGCCTTTGAGACAAACCAGCTCAGCATGTCTGGCAAGTTATTTAAATTACATGTCATCAGAAACTCTATAAGGATAAGTGAAACTGCCATTTTCTGATACCAATGGCAGCAGGTAAGCCTCTTGAGATTGTTTGAAAGATTTGTCAAAAATGTGCTTCCTCAAACAGTGAAAAATAATCCTTCACAGAAATTCCATAGGTGAACTAAATAAAAGCAGCATTTTGCTTGTAGTTTACTGTGTTATGTAAGACATTCTTACATCTCTAACAATAGCAGCAATTATTGTATTAGTATTAAAACATAAAAACTCTCATATTGGGTCAATCACATATTTAACACAGTGTTTATTTCCACTCCCATGCCACCCTTTCCTCCTTTTTTCCCCTTCTCCTTTTTCTTCTTTTTTCTTCTGCTGGCAGCTTGATCACATATATCGATATAACTGTAAAAGTTACAATGTTCTTCAGCAAATTATTGTGGCTTTTAGTTTCTCTCTTTTGTTAATATTTCATAATTGCTCTTACTAAATCAATAAACTTAAGCCTAAAGAGGTAATCATAATATCTGGAACCACTGTATTAAATAACCAGGATGCTGTTTTACTAACAATAAGACTTTGATTAGCTGTAAGGATTACTGTACCATACTTCTGTTTTCAGTTTTCAAAATACTGTTTTTCATGTACTTTTGTGTTTGCTTGTAAGCAAGACACATACTGCACTTTCCAATCAAGAGAATTAAGGAAAATCAAAGAAATGCCCACCTTAGTGTGGTTAAAAAATACTACACTTATCACCCACTGCATTTCTGATTGACAGTTCTTGAGACTAAGATTGACAACATGTAGGATGTAATGAGTGGGAAGACGACTGGAGTGTTCAGCTTATAAAAGAGAGGTCTGCCTTCACAATAGCACTAGAAGTTGTTACAGTCATCTGTTACTGCATTTGAAGAAGATTATGATAAACTGTGTCTCTGGAAAAAATCCCCAAATGATGTAAATCCTTACTTTTTAAAATCATGGATCGTATTTATGGATCCACACATTCACCAAATTGCTTTTTCAGGACAGTGCTGTACTAATAGTATTTTTCTTAAGAAGTTAATAGACAAAGAACAGGGGAAAAAGAGATAGTAATGGCCATTGAATGGCCAGTCACTTGAGACTATGCTTACAGTACTAAGTAAAAAACATTGAACGAGTGAGCTCATTTCCATGATGGTTAGATAGCCAGCCTCGTTCAGCTTTACCACTTGCTTTTGTGTTTTAGCTAGACTCTTAAGGCCGTGAGAGATAGCCTTTAATTTACAGGTCTGGGGGTCTGTTTGCCTAACTAATGTGAAAACTATGTTGCACTTCCTAGAATAGCAGTTTATATTAGGAAACTTAGAGGATCAGGTATTGGAAGTTTTGAGGTGTGACGTGTGGATCTGTGCAACTGAGTGATTAGTCTGTGAGGATGATGTTGAGGACTGTGTAGAATATATGGAGGGAAAACTGGTGGAAAACTGACAGATTTTTATCTGCATAGACTTCTGGGATCAGTTCATGAAGCAAAATGTCTCCAAAAGCCTAAGCAGGCTTTTTCTTGAAGAGAGATATTTGGAGCACTTTAAAGCATAAATAGGGAAAGAATTACCAGTTATGCAGGTGTAGATGATCAGAGGTCTAGTGCTTAAGCAACCTCCCTCTTTTATTTATTAGGACAGATGGAACTGTAGATACCAGGAGTCAAGAGAGGGTTCTTTCCCCATTGTGCAAAGATTAAATTAGAATTGATTCATAGGCTAACAATGATAATGCACAATCCTAAAAAAAGTCACATCATGACTCAAAGACAGAGTTCTGTGTTCTCACACTTCTTTCCCACTCTCTTTTTCAGGTAGAGAAATATGCCAGAATGTATCAGGCTTATATTTAGAGCAGATTACTTTGTGCAACTCCTATGTATTGAAGACCTCTATACCATTTATGGTCAATTTTCTAGTTGACCATCCTCTATCCAACTGTAAAGAATGTGAGTCAATGGTTCTACAGAAACTCCTTGCTTCTAATCTTGATAGCAGTTATAGAGGCAGCAAATGTAGGCAGTATGAATGCTGAACAGCCACATAATTCCTGGTGTAGGCACAAAGCCAGGATCACAATCTGGCTCTTCAAGACTTGACACATTCACAGAACACTGTAATACAGTATTGTTTATTTATAGAAATTTGGACATGTTTGAACTTTCCTACTTTTATATCAGAGGATAAAATCTGAAGATATCTTCTATGATCTGTAAGATGTGTATCTTTCTGCAAACTCTGATAGTAATTAGAGAGTACAAATTACTCTAGACCTTTCAGATTCCTTTGCTATAATACTGTCATTTTTTCCTATGTATTTTTCTGGTTCTCAGCACTAAAGGAAACTCATTTGGTTATTACCTCAAGATTCTTTCTCTATTTCTTTTTATTATACAGAACCAATATGTCCCTAAATTTAAAGGTAACACAGCAAGTGGGGTGAAATCAGACAGACGGTATAGTAAAAAAAAAACCCTTCTAGAATAGCATTTGTGCTCATTTTGGTGTGAAATTAGTTGTTGGGAGTTCAAGGATGAATTTCCCATACATAACAGAAATTTAATTGGAACAATTTTCCTGGAACATTTTAGAATCTTAAAACATGGTGTACCCCAAGTTGTGGGAGTAATTACTGCACATTATGTAAGATTGGATTGTGATGTCTTAGTGTTGCACAGGACTTTAAAAGCTATATTTTGCACATGAATATTGTTTTTTAAAATATGGTGAAATAGCCATTTGAAAAGATTTTGAGGAAAACCTGCATGCATGTGCATCCTGGAAAAGTTTGTAGGCAGTATGTTCTGTTTCCACTTGTTAACAAGAATCAAATATATTTATTAAACAAGCTTACTATTGTTCATTACTGAAATAAACATGCTGGGTTAAGAAACATGGCTCTATATCCTGTATCTGTCTTGTTTGACTTAGATTAAATTTGACAAGATGTTCAGGCATTTGGACAAGCAGACAACAGAGAGAAGAAGGACATGAGCTGAGATTGACTGTCCTTTTGTCACCATTCTCAAGAGGAGGCATTGTAATGTTTAGCGGAATCACAGCAGAAAGGACGATTCTACCTGCAAGGCAGCAGCTAGCAATTAATATTTGCAATACCACAGTATAACTTTAATGGGGATAAGTGACTTTGAAACTTTCCCACCTTGCTATTTTGAGTGCAGCAGTAGAAACAGGGTGCAGGGAAGGAACTCTGCACATCTTTTACTGCCTAACCAGCAATTCAGGGAAAGGTGTTTCAGTGCTTATTTATCTCTGAAGAAAGGCTTTTGTGCAAAAAACCCTTTCTTTTTCTTTGCCAACTTTATCAGTTTGTCTAATGAACAAAATTACTTTTCTCCATTATTTTTGCCCTCTTGTTTCTCTACTTTTAGATACTACAGAGACCAGAGGAAGAAAGGGGAGAAAGGTTATCTCCTTTGTTTGCTTTTCTTTATTCATGCAGGTAAGTAGCACATAACCTCAGTTTATTACAAGTGTTCTCAGCTATTTCCATAAATCCTTCTTCTGAAGTATGAAAGATATATTTATACCTTTTTATTATAACAGATGTTAACAAAGAGATGTAATGTCTAAATACTAAAGTCACAACTCACAGAAAAATCACACCCTTAAATTCAAGCCAGTTCGCTTTATTGTGTGCCTATGCAGGAAACAAGGGAACACATGTAACCATTTTCCTCTAAGCAGACTACTTATCTCACTCACTTGCCTAAGAGCAGGCAGACACAGAGAGATATTCTTATTAGCACAAAGCAAAACAAGCTGTAAAGCAGAAGTTAGGAAGAAGCTGATCGTATTGGAGTCATGATCCCATTTCTCCTTTGGAATGGGGCTGTGTACACACAAGTTGGATTTTAAACTTGTATTCTAATCCTAAATTTATTACAAAACCCTGTAATTTACAGACTGCATCCAAAACAATCTCCTAAGAAGGTATTATATTGACTTTTGGACATCTTTACATATTGGGGGGTGGGGACATTTGTCAGGTATTTGCTAAAAAGTAATGAAGATTTATGCCTTAGCTGAGAATGGTCTGGATTCCATAATTTTTCATTTTCTGACATTTTAGTATTTGGGAATTTTTAAACAGGTGAATAATTTTTGCAAGGGAAGAATGCTATTGATAATCAAGAGTTGGATAAGGTGAACCCTGCATTGATTTTAACAGAGTTTATGCTTAAGGAATATTAGGATATGCATGTGCTTGGTGGTTTTAGAGAATGTGTCCATTTATCAGTGCAGTAACCCCTCAGAAACACTCAAAACTGGTGTAAAGTTGTGGCAATTTTAAAATTATTACTTGGGTATATATTGAATAAGACTGCTATTTGGTAGGTATAATAATGTATTAAATTTTTGTAATTCATGCTGTTACCTAACTCATTGAAATATAAGTGATTGAGAACTATGTCCCATAAGACAATTTTCCATTGTCTTATGCATTAGTGATATTTTTTAATCAAATGAAAGATGAAACAATTAAAAAAATTCAGTTACAGTACAGCCATAAGCTGATGAAAAAGTGGCTACTCAAAATTCATTTAAATAAGCATAAAATTATTCTCCATTTTTCCTAGGGTTGCATTATTCCTTCTTTCATTCTGTCTTTTGTGTGCCCAACTTTTCATTGCATGGTATGATTTAGATATACTTGATCTGAAAGATAACCTAATCTCGTGCTTCAAATTACTTCCTTGGTTCTAAAAATATTTTTGAAACAAATCAGTGAATTTCAGAATGATATTGGTTCTGCTGAAATCTTATCAAGGAGACCTGAAGTCCTACCTAATTTCTAAACAACTGTTCCATACATCTGTATCCTTTTATAACCTTGCCTAAATTTATAGGCATCTAAAGGATTAGTTAACATCTTGACTGCTTTCACACATTTTAAAAGTATTTATTTTGGGGACATAATTGTCTGTTTCATACTTATGTCTCTTCTTGAGACTTTTTTTTTTTTTTGCTCTACAGCAAAGCAAGCACACAGATCTACCAGGGCATTCTGAATAAAAAGCCATCATTCTGATCTTTTAGTTTGTAGTCCTATTCAGCTACTCCAAAATCACTGGCTGCTTGTAGCACTTGTAAGAGAAATCTGAGAGTTTCCTTTTTACATTTTAATCAGAGACAGAAAAAAATTACTGTCTTCTAAGTTCTGGAGAGCCACCTTAGTGTTTCTACTGAATGGTAAAAACATGTTATTGAAAGAAACAGAGGCAATTTGACTCTAAGTAAATAATTCCTTTTTTTTTTTTTTCCCCTCATTGGTGACATAATATAATACAAATATGTATTAGAATTGATAGTATACAGGATTCATTTTTTTCATTTTTAATCCTTTGCAGTCAAGAATCCAGCTCCCTCTTTAAGTGTCAGGCTTCTTGCTGTTTCAGCCTTTTCAGTATTCTCTTAAGACACAAGTTTAATTCTTTGCAGTTGAAGCAGACACAGAACCCACCTTTCCAAATTCCTAAGGTGCTCTAAATATAAAATATTAAGCAAAAAGTAAAAAAGAACTCCTACATCTCCTTTGAAAGATTCACCACTACCTATCCATCTTAGGAGAAGCAGAGACAGATTAGGTCCTGAGCAGAAAGAATTGCATAATGGAAAAAACCCCACAACATTGAGGATTTTTGAACTTAATATGGGTGTGATAGGAATTTTCAGCAATGCAACCCCTCATTTTTTGATGAACTAGGGACTTTAAGCCCTGTTTTTCTGAGAACTGAATTTTTCCTCACCTCTCCCACAGACACAGCCACCTAGAATTTAGATGTGTCAGTTTAAAACAGTCATCCTGGTCTCCAACCTCTTTTTAAATTTTCTTTGTTCTTACTTTATTTCCTTTAGAATGTAATTTAAGCTTGAACTTTGAGAACAATGATCATTTCAACTTTCATTGCTACAGGGTAAAGCCCTTAATGATAGCATAACAATTCATTTCCTAATTTTCTTTAAAATGGTAGGAAATATTTCAACATTTTGCAAGTATTCTGCAACACCAGACACTTTTCTGATGTTAATATGCTTTTCTTAAGACAAAGAGTAGTAAGTGCAGCTGTCTTTCCTTTGAAAATCAAACCCAACTCTTATCTAGAAGAAGGAAAAAGCAGCATTTTCTAAAACTTATCTGTATCCATACTTAAAATACCTCAAAGATTAGTGAAAAACACTTAGCCTTTTGAAAAAAACACACCACATATGCTATTTAAGTGCATTTTAATAGACAAAAGTACCATTGACTAGATCAAATGTTGGTAAAAGCTCCATGAAATTCGAATCATTTTTTCCCCTCAGCAGTGAGTATTTCACTCAGTACTAATCTGTAGAGTGCAAAAGAAAATTGCCCCAACATTTCTCGTTATCAGTTCTCCATGGAATGGGAAAGAAAAAGGATGTAATTTGTGCCATTATTTGCTTTTTAGCATAAGGAAAAAAATCACAGTCTCAGTTAAAGCTGAAGTCTGAGCTTTCCTTCTCTGTTTTATATCCTCTAGTGACTTTTTGCTATTATACTTCATGTATAAGTGTAAAGGAGCATCTTATATTCAGGTACACCACCTACACAGATGGTATACATACACAGAACAATTTCATAGGGAATTGACTTTATTTTTTCCTTTGTTTTTCTTCTTTAAATATTAATAAGTTCATCTTTTATAAATAGAGTACAAACTCCTCTCTAAGTATTGAAAAGGATTACATTTACTGTCTAAAGGTATAGACTTTCAAAATAAGTATGTCCCTTGAACCAGTTATAGATGGCTGTTTTCTTCAAAGTAACTGGCTACCTTTTTTGTTTGTTATGAATAAATTGGTTTCAATAAATTGTACATTTGTCTTGTTTTCTGCTGTTCCAGCCTTGACAACCCTGGGCAATTTCTTTCTTCCTTGAGTCATCTTAAAACTCAATGGGACCTTTATTTGTGGCTTGAGTTTAGGAACTTGAATCATATGCTAACGTGCCTTTAGTGTGCAAAAGCTCACTGTTGGACTTTTTAAAAAGACAGAAAGAAATTTGTTGTGTTCAATAGGTTTTCAGTAGTCTTTGAAGATAGCACCTTGTTTATCTGATTCTGTGCATGAAAAGCTGTCCAAAAGAAGTGAATATTACCTGAGCAGTATTCTTCATAATCTTAAATCAAGAAATAATAGCACATTTCTTTATATATGGCAGAACAGACAATTGAATGGCACTGTCTGATTCTACTGTGATGTTATCATTTTTTAGGTCATTATCTTCAGCAAGAGCTTTGCTGTTTTATCAGCTGCAATTTAAAATAGAGGTGCTTCTAATGTTCTTTCAAAGGCTTAGCTGATAATATCAAGTAAAGTGAATTTGGGGTTTAGTACAAATAATTCTTGTTACCTGAACAATCATTCTTTAAGAGATGCAAATCAAAATGAGAGCTAGAAATGATGTTCGCAATGTACCAAAGTTCAGTTTAACAGTAATGTTACTCCAGGATAAAACTGATATTTTTCTGTTAGCACCAAAGCAGTTTAACTGATGGTACCATTAATAACATATGAAAACATGACACTGACTAGAGAAGAAGAAAGATGCTAATTCAGGGAGCCACATTTGCTTTGAATGCAAAAAACAAACAAACAAACAAAAGAGTGTTGTGCCTACAGTACAAAGCAACTGTATGTGTGGCTAATGTGTTTGGCAGCACTTCATAGCCTTCATGGGAATATCTTGACCAGGTGAACTATATTCATGTTGACCAGTCCTATATTCATACTACCATCATTCAGCAGGGCAGCTCTTACTCTTTTCAACTCCAAAAGATATTGCACTGTGTGGTACTGTCTGATTCTTTCTACTTCATAAAGACAAACTATTTGCAACATCCCTCATGCTTTGGAGTTAAGTGATCATCTATGGGTCATTTCCACATTTTTGTCTAAACGGAAGGTGTCAGACACCACATCATTTGTTCTCCACTGAAGAAATATAATGTAGGTTAGCTCATAAGTTTTTACCTTAAGATATCTCATGTTCTATATTATAAACAAAGTTGCATGATTTCAAGATAGAACATACCAAAAGTAAAGAAAAAAAGCAGATATTTCTTTAAACTACTGGAATTATACCTTTTGTCTTTGACATGGTGTCATAGTTCCGATTTTAGCAAGGAATTTTTCTTTCCCTTCCCCCCCTGCTGTGTGTGCCCTGTGTATAGGTCATCAGGTAGCTATCAGGTGAACAAAAGAATCAGTCGGTCCACTAATGGCCGAGATATTAAGTCTCCTAGGAAACAGGCAGATGAAGGAGCTAAAGTCTATTTTTTTCTCTCATCTCTGGGGCAATGGGGGAGCAGGAATTTTGGTGGGCTGAGGGTATGGCTGGCACGCTGGTCAGGAGGAGAGGCTGGTGTGCCGGTGGGGTCGGGACCTGCTACGAGCTGCAGACGCTGCCTGGTTCTTTTTTTTTTCCTGTCGGAGGGGAGTTTGCTGCCGCTCTCTGCTCAGCTGTTGCTGGCTGCAGGCCCTGCTTAAAGCGAACTCTAACCAGTTGAAGATCGTGAGTTTTCTTCCATTGGGAGAACTTTCTGTTTGATTACTGGGGTTTTTTTCCTTCCTTTCCCTTCCCCCCACTCCCTCTCTCCTGTCCCAATGTGGGAAGGGAAGGGGAACCAAGGGGTGTTTTTGTTGTTGTTTTGTTGGTTTTTTTCTCTCCGACATACCCTGGAAGGTCTTGTTTTTTCCCCCATCCCATGTGGCGGCAACCAGGGATCCAACAGCGTCGCCTGGTGACAGGCACTGGACATTACAAGTTCTGCACCTCCAGTGATCCAACAGCGCCACCTGGGGGCTACCATAGGACACTACAAGTTCTTCATCTCCAGTAACCCAACAGCACCACCTGGTGAATGGTACAGGACATTACAAGTTTTGCATCTCTAGTGACCCAACAGCGCCTTCTATTGACTGTGGTTGGAATTGCACCAAGGGGAGCAAAAATGGAACTGTTTACTCTTTCTTTTGCTGGTTTATCGGTTTGTTCTTGAAGGGGATTATTGGTGGGTATAGGAGTATTGCTTGGTTGTTTTACTTGGTTTTTTTCCGTGTTTCTGTTAATACACACATACCTTTTAATAAAGGGCTGTTATTTTCCCTTTTCCATAATTTGTTTTCCTGCAATCGGAGCCTCTTAATTTTGGATTTATAATTGCTTAGAAAAAGAAGTTTGGGTCTTTTCTCCTAACTCATCCTCAGCAAAAGACCCTTGTCTCATTTAAACTGGGACACATGGTATTGCTTTAATTGTCCTGGAAAAATAATTTAAACTATTTTTTTTAAGTTAGCTCTAAAATGTGTGTAATGAAGTGGTCTGGGAGTGGGCAAAAGGCTAGGAGAGTTAAAAATAGTGGCAGTTGACCCCAGCTGACCAAAGGAATATTGCATGACATACGACGTTGTGCTCAGCAATAAAATTGACGTGTGGGGAGAGTAGTTTTTTGAAGATAGCTACTACCTGGAGACAGTTTAGGCATTGACCAGCTGATGAGAGGTAGTAAGTGCCTGACTTTACACCGCTTGTTTGTTTGTCTTTCTTTTTTTCACTTATTAAATTGTCCTTATCATGATCCATGAGGTTTTTGTCATTTTTTTTTCCCCTTCTGATTCTCTCCCCTATCCTGCTGGGGTTGAAGAGTGAGTGGGCAACTGTGTGTGGGTTTTGCCAGGGTCAACCCACTGTGAATTCTCAGTCAGTTCCTGTCTCCACTTCCAGTAATAATTCTGTAAGACTTTGTAGGAGTCTAATGTCTTCTCCAGGCCAAATCCCTCATGTATTTGAATCAAATAATTTATTTTTATCAGTGATGTGGATAGTACAGGAGAAGTAGATTCTCATCTTTTAATTCAAGTACTGGGGCTTAATCCAGAGTAGCTGAGAGCAGGAAAAATCCCTCTATTCTCTCCTACCTCTGAGCTGGATGTTCATTTCCTGCATATTTTGGTGTACGCACAGTCTGATCACACTTGGGGCTCTGATAAGAGCATATTTATTGAGGAGAAAAATAGTCAGAAACTTATTAGGTAAACATTATCAAGTACTCAGCAGTATGAACAGGGATTCTTGCATGCTTATGACTTTTCCAGACTTGGCAGAATTTGTTTTCAGATCTATATCTTTGCCTAAAGCCCCATTCCTCCTGCCAAATTTCAAGACCCTGTTCCAAAACAGGCAGGTGCTAGAACATTTTAAAGAAAAGGTGTCGAGAGTATTTTAACACTAGCAAAACAATATACAGAATCACAGAGTTGCAGAATGGGTAAGATTGGAGGGGACCACAGGGTCCCTCTGGGTCATCTGGTCCAATCTCCCTGCTCAGGCAGAGTCATTCCAGAGAACGTTGCGCATTATCATGTCCAGATTGTTCTTGAATATCTCCAGTGAGGAAGACTCCACAAACTCTCTGGGCAATCTATTCCAGTGCTCAGTCACACAGTTAAGACATTTTCCCTCATCATCAGGTGAAACTTCTTGGGCATCAGTTTCTGCCTATTGCCTCTTATCCTATAGCTTGGCACGATCAAGAAGAGATTGGCTCCACCTTCTTGACACCCTTCCTTCTGATACTTATGAATATTGATGAGGTCCCCTCTCAGTCATTTCTTGTTGAGACTGAACAGACTCTCTCAGTCTGGCCTCAAAATCAACCTTGTAGCCCTCTGCTGGACCCTCTCCAGGAGCTCCATGACTCTGTTGTACTGAGGAGCCCAGAACTGGACGCAGACTCCAGATATAGCCTCACCAGGTCTGAGGGGCAGGATCATCTCCCTCAAACTGCTGGCACTGCTCTTCCTAGGGCAACCTAGGATACCATTGGTCTTCTTGGTCACAAGGGCACTGCTGGCTCATGGACAGCTTGTTGTCCACTAGGATCCCAAGGTCCTTCTCCCTGGAGCTACTTTCCAGCAGGTCAGCCCCCAGCCTGTCCTGGTGCATGGGGTTATTCTTCCCCAGGTGCAGGACTCTGCATTTCCCTTATTTGAATTTCAGGTATTTCATTTCTGCCCATCTCTCCAACCTGTCGAGGTCCTTCTGAAGGGCTGCACAGCACTCTGAGGTATTGGCCACTCATCCATCTTTGTGTCACTAGCAAACTTTCTGAGGAGGCACTTGCCCCTTTGTCCAAGTCCTTATGAATGAGTTAAACAATACTGGGCCTTGTATTGAACCTTGGGTGACACCACTTGTCACAGGCCTCCAATAGACCCTGTGCCTCTGGTTATGATCTCCTGAGATTTCTGTTCACTCCAGTTCTCAATCCATCTCATATCCACTTATCCAGTGCACACTTCCTGAGTTCTCCTATGAGGATGTTGTGAGAGAGAGTCAAAAGTGCTGCTGAAGCTGAGGTTGACAGTGTCCACTGCTAATCCATTCATCAACAATATCCACCCCTCATCCATCCAGGTCATCGTTTCATCATTGCAGAAGGCATTTGGATTGGCCAAGCATGATTTACCTTTAGTGAATCCATGCTGACTACTCCTGATCATCTTGTCATCCATGTGGATAGCGATGGCCTCCAGAATGAGGTGCTCCATCACCTTTCCAGGATGGAGGGGAGGCTGATTGGTCAGTAGTTCCCTGGGTCTCCTTCTTTGGAAGACTGGGGTGACATTTGCTTTCTTGCAGTCCCCCAGCACCTCTCCTGATCACCACAACCTTTCAAAGATGATCAGGAGCAGCCTTGCTAGGGTGTCCACCAACTCTCTCAGCACTCGTGGATGCATCTCATCAGGGTCCCTGGACTTGTGGATGTCAAATTTGCCCAGGTGTTCTCTAACCCAATCCTCCTTGACCAAGGGAAAATTTTCCTTCCAAGCTGGCCTCTCGGGTCAGAGATCCCCAAGGGCTGGTCTTACCAGTGCAGACCAGTGCAAAGAAGGCATTCAGTAACTCTGTCTTCTCTGTGTCCCCTGTCACCAGGGTCCCTTCTCCATTAACTAATGAGCCACATTAGCCTTGGTTTTCCTTTTCTTACTGATATATTTGAAAAAGCCCTTCTTCTTGTTCTTGACATCTTTGGCCAGATTTAATTCCAGATGGGCTTTGGCCTTCCTTGTCTACTTTTTGCTTACTCTGACAGCTTCTCTATATTCAGCCTAACCATGCTTCCATCTCCTGTGTATTTTCTGCTTACGCTTGAGTAATGACAGGAGTTTCTCGTTCATCCATGCAGGTCTCTTGCCCTCTTTTGCAGGAGGTTCACTTTCCACCTTGATGAGAAACCTGTTTCCACACCCCTCTGTCTCTAAGGTCCCAGCTTTTACCTGGTGGTGAGAAGGTAAGTGATCAATCCATTGCTCCTTGTGATGGCAGGTGAGTTTGTCTAAGGCATGATAGAATGTGATCCCACCAGTCAATCTCTTCCTCAGAGTCCCTAATACCCTTTCCACTTCACCACTATGCTGAGCAGATTGTCAACCTGGTCTCATCCCACACAGCTGTTCGCTCTGCTGCCCTCACAGAGCATTGCCAGACTGGCACTCCCTGCAGCCTGAGACCTGTCTCCCTGCATGCTGTTTTGGGTGCTCCTTCTGGGTCTCCACATCTTTGTGGTGCACACAGAGAAAGCAACTTTTGTCCAAGTGGACACCATACCTGAGCACTCTCAGTGAGGGCAGTGATCACCAACTGAGCTAATTGCTAAAGCTGTTAGTCATTATTTTCAAAAAAAAAAAAAAATTAACTGGGCCTCACTTTTTTTTTCAAAAGAAAATTGTGGACCAAAGTGTAGTCATTTAACAGACTAATAAGTGTAATAAAATATCTGAAGCCAGGAAGTACCTAAAAACATGAATACTGTATAGTGTTACCAATCAGTCAGTTTTGAAAAGGACTTCTTATGAAATACACCAAACTAATGTTGCAATAACTATATTCCAGAGACCCTTCTGAAGGCACTGAGCTTCACTAATTCAAGCCTAATAGGAAAGACTTATGCCTGACAATATGCATCTTTCATATTGGATTTAAATTTTTCTGCCTCACCTGCTCTTACAAGCTTAGATTATTATCTAATTCTCTATTATGTAAAAACCCCAAATTAGTATTCAGTTCAAGAATCAAGGATATCTCCCTTGTCTGCCAGGTGCTGCAGTATCAAAGGATCTTGCAACTTCTTAAGGATGAGTACAAACATTCAACTATGGATATTTTTCCATCTCCTTATACTTTTCATTGCAGACAGGTAAACAGACAGTATGGATTTTGAAATGTTCAACATTGAATTAAGTGTGTTTCTCAGGAATAATGGATCTTAGATCCATGCAAAAGCTGTGATGCAGCAATGCTAAATTTTGCTGTCTAATATACAGATATATGGTTTAAAGGATTAACTTACTATGATTCTTTAAATGATACTGTGTTGTTAGTGCAAATAACAGTCACAAAATATTTCCAACATAACATGGTGTTATATCAGGGATACAAAAAGTAATTTATACAAATACATAATAAACTTGAGTTTTAATCTTGCAAGGAGAACGACTGTGGATCCATATTCCCATTAAAAAATCAATAAAAAACCCGGCTGAAAAGTGTGAAAAATTGTTGTTACATCTATTTATTATTTCAACACAGTACAAACAGCTCCTTCGTAGTCTCATTACATAGTGATTAAAGGATGAAAATAGAATTTCATTTGCAAGGTATTAGTTTACAATGCATTTTTTGTAGTTGTCAGGGCAAAACTATAATTACATAGAAATTAATTTTTCTCTTCAGGATATTAAGTGACAATGTATGCATTTGGATGGAAATGATGGGAATAAGTTCTAAACCCACTACTCTGAACAACAAGCAGCTGCAATTCAATATATGTAAAAAAAAAAGTGAAACCAGGCCAAATAGTGTAAACTTCAGTGAAAAAGTCATCTCTTGAGAAGCAATCTTCTTGCAAAGCTCTTGAATGATTAATGGCATGGTATTTCACTTGTGGTTGTTTTTTGAATTGGGTCAAGAACACATATGTTTATAACACACAGAGAAATGATGTTAAATTTTAAAGAAATTCACAAGAGCCAGACATTTTTAGGATTAAAAGTTTGGCTATGTCCACAGTACATTCCCCTTGTGCCTTCATAATTGCAATGTTGTTAAGGCTTGAAATCAGTGCTTTTATGTTACAAGTTAAAGATTAATTGGAAGTCTTATCTTTGAATTTTCTTTCTTGGGTTAAAGGCAAATCATTAAAACAACATTAATGTATTTTCCTATATTAATTTTCTTTTATTAATGGTAGTAAGAGAAAGGAAATTTCAGGAAAGGAAATTTCAGGACAGGAAAGGGGAGGGGAAGGGGATAGGAAAAGGGAAAGAGGGAAAGGGATCGGAAAAGGAAAGGGAAAGGAAAAGGGAAAGGGAAAGGAAATTTCAGAAAATTTTAGGAAAGGGAAAGCAAAAGAGAAAGGAAAAGAAATTTCAGGAAAGGAAAGGAAATATCAGGAAAGGGGAGTGGAGGAGAAGGGGAAGGGGAAGGAAAGGGACACAGAGGGAGAACCCTAAAATAAATGTATCCTGCATGCATTCATGGCAGGTGTATATTTATTTTGTCGTTCAGAAGAATTCG